CCAAGATAGATTATCAATCAAACAATTCACATAATAAACAGTGAGATCAATAATTCGTAAACCGATATATTCATATCCTCTATTGAAATAGGTAACCAGATAACATATATTAAACAATCATAGTTCACATATAATCAACTAGTAAATCAGAACCAACAAATCATAACATTATTGTTTAAAGATTCCATAAATCAATAATTACGGAAAAACACATTTCAAGAAAAATAAAACAGTCATGTACCATATAAGGAACACACATCGCAGTCAGTCAAGGAGTCTACTGAGCACCTGCTTCATCACGCTTTGCAACAGTGCTCGAACCTAATTCATAAATAAATGAGTTAATATCGAAGTAAAATTTCAATCTAGGTATTCATAGGGTTCACGGGTCGTACGAGTTACTGGCTCACGAGGTCGTACAGATCGAGAGAAGTTGGGTCGAGTTGTCGAACGATCGGGAGAGTCTCGTGTACCTTCAAATAACAATATTTGATCAGTCTCCAACCTTAATTTAATTATTAGCAAATAAAATACTTAAGTACATATGCATGCTCTGGTTTAACGGTCAATTAAGAGGCTTTCGGGTTCAAATTTGGCAAAACGAACTTCTTCGGACTCAGGATATCGAAAAACATAAAATATGACTTTCTAGAAAATTTGACTTTTTGTTTAAAGTCAAAGTCAACGGTCAACTTTGGTCAAAGTCAACAGTCAGATCAACGGTCAGTCAAAGTCAATGAGTTGACTCTATCCGATTTGACTCAACTCGACCCGGTTTGATTTGACTGGACCGATTTCAAAATGCTCATGGATCGAAGGATGAATCCCACACACACTATCGGCGTGTGGTGACGCTTGAGGTGACGTCAGGGGCCATTTTGAAAAGCTAAACTCTCTTCGATCAACTACACACTTGAATTTAGCCAAAAGTTAGTCCAATTTCACAGCAAGATATGCCAAAGTTATCGAAAATCAATCAGGAACTTACCCCAATGGCAAACGGCGAGGGATGCGATGACAGCGCATCCCACTGCATGGGTTTCGTGCGCACGATGATGGTGAGTTCGACTATAGCAATGGTGTGGCGAGCTGATGCCTAGATCAGCGACAATCATTGAAATAAGGTGGCACGATTTGGGGGTTTTCGTCGCACTATAAATTGTCGATTCGCAGCAAAAGGCAACGTTTCACGGCGTGACGATGCTTGAGTTTTTGTTGTCGGTCGACGACGAGCCGAATGAAAGTGGTAGCTAGCGGAACTACAGTCAGACGATGGAGAAATCAACGGTGGAAGGGTCGACGACACTTAGGGATTTGGAGGTTTTAATTTGAGAATTTTTGGTTTGGGCATTACCAATTTTAAGACCTTAAATAAAATTTTAATTATAAAAATCCTAAACAGTACCCTAGCCTAAACGGCTAGGGCATGAGCAACCTCACATGGGTTCGTCACCCTACAACACCTAACCATTTTTTATATTTTTTCACTATTGACAGAAAATGGAAAATTTTAAAGTTAAGTCCTTGAACTTCCCACAACTTTCTAAAATGGACTACAACTCTCAAAATTTTGCAATTTGGTCCCTAATGTTATTAAATTAATTTATTTTATTTATTTAGGGTTGTGACATTTATATTTATGAACAAGCTCGTTTACTCGGTTCTCCTTTTCCTTTTCTTTTTTTTTATTTTAGGATGATGTTGACACGGTCGACGAGCACGAATGAGCACCGTTAATTATGGGCACCATTAAATTAATTCATAAAATGTTAAATTATAAAGTACTAAACATATAATTATAAATTAGCTAAAAATCTAAATGTAATTTAATTGAAATACAATATTTATAAAATATTAGTTTTTAGGGTAAACTATACCATTGACCACTTAACTATTTACCCCTTTTAGTTTAACCACCGATTTTTCAAATTGTCAATCAGATCACTTAACTATTGGAATCTTGTCAATCAAGCTACATGCCATTAAATATTAACAGAGGAGATGACATGGCAGTTAATAAAATTTGTGTAATTATTTAGTCCTCATTATTTACACACTCTATTAATTTGGTCCTAACTTTTATTTAATTCAATAAATTTAATCTTCAATCCTATTGTGACATGTGTCACTGTGTGATTTGATGTTTTTATTATTTTTATTTAATAATTTTTCATCCAATCAAATTGTGCTATGTGTCACCAATTAAATGAATGGAAAATAAATTAAATCAATAACCGCTGTTGGTGGGATTTGAACCTAGGAAGCAGGCTAAAAACTAAGTATCCTAACCACTAAGCTAGACCAATAAATGTGTTAAGTATATAGAACATAATCTATATAATTTATAATATAATTAATGATAATAAATAACCTTATAAGGACTAAAACATGAAATAATTGAATAGTATGAAAATATAAAAAATATAAAAATATTATAATCGATTAATAAATAAATATATTTATTTATAGTTTAAATAAATGCAAAAATTAAAATAAAAAAATTTAATATGTTATAATTGAAATATATCATTTTACATATTTTAAATTAATAAATTGTCTTCATTATTACAATTTTATTGAACTGAAATGTATCATATATTTTAAAATATTATAATGTCGATCAAATTCTAATCGTTTTTAACAACTCTATATTAAAATAGACTAATTCAATAAAATCAAGTTTCCCCTAAATTTTTCTTCAATATATAATGAATAAATGATGAAATATTTACTCTAACTGGGATATAAACAAGCCAATATATAAGTTAAAATGCTTATTACGATAAGCCCTCAACTATCAAGAAAATTCTAAGTTAACGAAGCTCTTCGTTATATTTCAATTATAATATATTAAAATTATTTTTATTTTTTCATTGAAATAATTTAAAATATAAATAAAATATATTCACATATTAATCAATTGTAATATTTGTGTATATATATATATATATATCATATTATTGCATTATTAAATTATTTCATGTTGGAGTTCTTATTAGGACATTTTCCCTTTTTTCATTGCTATTAACTATATATTATGCCGTGATAAGTTTGTCATTGAATGGTGCATCCTAGTGGTTGGGGTGTTTGCTTCCTCTCTTCATATTTTGGGTTCAAACCCTACCACCACCAACAATTATTGATTTAATTTATTTTCTATTCATTTAGTTAGTGACACGTGGCACCATTTGATTTGATGAAAAATTTATTAAATTAAATAAAAATATTAGGGGGAAAATCCAATCACACAATGACATATTTCATCCTCTGAATGAAGATTAAATTTATTGAATTAATTAAAAGTTAGGACCAAATTAATAGAATGTGTAAGTAATGAAGACTAAATGTGTAATTATAGAAAATTTATTAACTAGCACGTCATCTCCTTCGTTAATATTTAGCGGCAGGTGACTTGATTGACAAGATTTAAATAGTTAGATGACCCGATTAACAAAATTGAAAAATCGGTGGTTAAAGTAAAAGGGGTAAATAGTTAGGCGGTCAATGGTATAGTTTACCATAAAAAACTAATGTTTTATAAATATTATATTTTAATTAAATTACATTTAGATTTTTATCTAATTTATAATTATACGTTTAATACTTTATAATTTAACATTTTATAAATTAATTTAATGATGCTCATCTTTAACTGTACTCATTCACGTTCGACTAGGATTGTAGAATTTTTCTTCATTTTAAATATTGATAAAGGTATGGACTAATTTAAACATATGGTAAAAGTTGAATTTTAAACTATGAATATTAAGGAGTTTAAGCACTAACGGTATAGTTTTACCATTTTTCTTTAGCTTGCAAATGAAAAGGTAAAACTAAAATTTGAACATATAAATGAACTAAACAAACGATAAACGAACATGATAATGAAATCTGAAGGAACATATTCATGAACATATAAATTAATACGTTTGCGAACATCAAATGAATATGTTCACAAACAATAAATAAACCAACACGGATACCGTTAAAAGTAAATAAATGAATACAAACACAATATTGAAAATTTAAAGGAACACGAACCGCACATAAGCACATTAAAAAATAAACAAACAAACACAAACATATTTTTATTTATTTAAGCTTGATTAATTTACACGCCTACATTTAATGTATTGTTAATTAAGGTATAAAATTATTGATCCACGTATTTTAGTCTCGTTAACAGTAAAACATATATAAACCCTTAAATCAAGGAGATAAATGTAGGGATGTCTATTAGATTTAAGTTTGATGGATTTTAGTTCGATTTTATTGAGAATTTATATTTGTATTTGGAGTGAAAAATAATTATCTAATTCGATCCAAGAATAAAAATATATTTTACCTTTATATATTTAAAATTAATTACTAAAACATCTTTATGTCTATATATATTTTCTATTAGGTCCCTATTTTATTTAATAAATAAAAATAATTTATATATATGTGTCGGATCAAATCATGTATTAGTTTTTATGCAAAAAATTGAATCGAAATTCATATAATAAATGGAGGAATGTAATACTTGAATTAGATTTGGGTAGAGGAAAATTGCCCCATACCCGTCCCTAAATAAATGCACGTGACATATCAGTCAAACAATTAAATTCGTGAGAGATTTGACCTCATTAATGAATAAAGTATAAAAACAAAATTTATCCACTCAATAATGAAATATTATCACACGTCGGACTCGAGCTGTAAACCGGGTTCCGAACAAAATTCTTAGACCTTGGTGTATTTTTATGAATATTGATGGTCTCATGAAGCGGATTAGCCAAGTACAGGTTAAGTTTGCTCCAAGACAGTGTAACGAATCGGCAGATGCACTCACTAAAGTAGTGACGAAGAGACCGATGATGTTCAAAGCTTGATGCTGAGCACTCGTAGTAGCTCTTAAGGGTTATTAGCAATTAACGAAATGTAAAGAAAACACAACAAATATATAATATTCAACAAGTTTAGAGAATAATAAAAACACAAATGTAAAGCAAACAAGGTGATAAATACAAGTCTTTTCATGTCCCTTAGAGATTCAGAAAGCTCCAAGGAAAGAACTTGAAGAAGAGTATTTAGACTTATTCAGTATCAATCGGAAATGAAAACAACAAACTTACAAACGAAAACATAGTGGAAACCATGACAAAGATGAAGATAGTGACAGAGTGGGGATTTAGCATTGGAAGCCAGTAGGAACATTCCTTGAGCAAACGTTGAGAAGCAAGCTAAGGGAGATTGGGATATTAAGGTTGATGCCTAGGATGTTAGCTCTGATGGCGGTGCAAAGGCAGACGGCAGCTTCGAGGTCAACGAGGCCTTGGAGAAGGGCACAACACGGCTGCACCGGGGGTGAACCGACGGTGACATTGATCAAGTTAAGCACATTCGCGCACACACCTAACTTAAGGGCATCTCTGGGGCATCTGCCTAGTGCAGATGGAGTGGGGGTCGGGGTCGGGTTAGGGTTGGTGGAAGGGCAGGAGTTGCAAGCATTGCCAAGGGAAAAGAAGAGGATGTTGAGTGCCAAAAAGAGGGCAATGTAAGCTGATCTTTTTGATGCCATGCTGATCTTCTCAAAACCCTGCTGGTTTGCTTTCGTAGCTTAGAGTTAAACGTACAAGTGTTTGAGGATGTGGGTTTTGGAGTGAAGGAAGAGGGCTTTTTATACTGTTTCAAGAGGGTTTAGGGTCGTCGTCGTTTTAATGTTAGGTTAAATGATCAAATTGTAGAATAATTAATCAATTTGATTTCTTATGGCAATTTGGGCTGGCCGGTGAAGTTTGGATGCTTGTGATCTTGAGGTAGAAAATAGCACAATGCCATGTTCCTACTCTCCTATAGGATCACTTCGTGGATGTGTACCAACTCAAAAGTTCAGGTTCCTTATTATAACTAATAATAACAAACTGATTACTATATTTAAGTTTATTAAATATAATTACAGCTGCGTTACAACAATACACATTCTATAATTATAATTTTTGAATTAAAATAAAATATAAATAATTTCACAAATATCAATTTAAACTACGATATTCACAAATGTAGAATAAAATCCACAAATATTAAATACGTATTACGTGCTATATAAATGGGTGTCACTTGTTCCCATATGTAATGGCAGTTTCCATAGGAGACCTCCGAATTATTAAATGCCCTCCATGAGACTCAATCTCACGACCTCAAGGTTAATAACCTTGTGTTCTACCAACTGGGCTACATAATTAAAACTATATACTCTCATAATAATATAATTCTTAAACCAGAATAAATGAAGGATAGAGTCTACAAATGTTAATTACGTATAGTAAACTTAAATCTAAATATTTAAAACCTCCTTAGGTCTCCTTTTTTAGATAATAATATTATTAAATTACTTTATACATTTACCTAAAATAAATATCCCCACTATTTCACGTTCTTCCACAATCGGAGGATAGTTCCAATTTAGACCGCTAAGCAAAGACAATGGATTAGAGATTCAAAACATCATTAATCTCTCTTTCAAGGCTAGCTTGTCAAATCTTTTCAATCTTTTGACATTATCCTTTAAAAGATTTACTGAGATCAATAGCGGGTCGAAAAATATTTTTGAAGGTATATATATATATTAACAATATAAAATTTTTATATTAAGGTATTAAAATGAATCAAAATATAACCAACACACAAAAAATATACTAAAATAAATTCTAAATTCTAAATCTATAAAATAAATATAGATATTTAAAGCCTCGTTAGGTTCCTTTTGTTAGATAATGGTATTATTAAATTGGTTTATACATTTACTTAAAATGAATATCCCCATTTTCCACGTTCTTCCAAAATAGGAAGACAGTTATAACTCAAAGACAAAGTGGATTACAGATTCAAAACAACATCATTAATCTCTCAGGATTTAGTTCCTTCGATAATTTTCAGGTTCCATTGTACTGGTTGTTAGATATTTCTATTTTTTTTTGTTATATTTAATAATAATTTTAAACATTCTTTTCTCCTTCCGTTATTTTAATTGAGTTCCGATTCAATCGATTTATGAATGAATTTTTAATGAAGCCCCTTTCATCTTTCAAAGAAAAATTATTCTATTTGAATCTCAGTTTGTCAATTCTTTCGGCCATTATCATCTAAAGATTTATTAAGATTTGTGAAAGAAAATATAACCAATAAGAGATAAAAATTTATTAAATTTTTTTAGCAAAGCAATTATTTATTAAGACAATAATATTTGACTTTATAATTTATCTTCATAATTTCAAACGATAAAATATTATTTCATTAAATTAATTTGTAGTTTTATACGATTAAAACTACAAACTCTATTTACAATAAATACCAAGTTTTTACATGAACAATTGTATAACTTTTGGACAGAGATAAACCACAAAGCGTCCCACGTAAAAATTGTTAAGATGTACATCTTGTAGGATTTTGTTGGTATATTTGGTGTTGTTGTTATAAAATAAGGTATGGAATCTGAAGCATATGGAATGGTTGATAATTGATGCAAGCAAAGCATGAGTTTGTTGGTATATGGTTTCCTTTAGTATTATGAGGTGGTTGATAATTGCTGCAAGCAAACCTTAGTTGGAAAATGGCATTTTTAGGAGGAAATCTCGGCATGTTGCCAATGGAAACTATCTAGCTGGACTCAACTGGCGTGTCACGGGCGAGATTAGAACCTGCCATCGAAGTTAACAATTCCTAATCTCATGAGATTATTTATAAATTTAATTTCAAGATTAAATTAATCCTTTTTAAATATTAATTATGAATAATTTAATTTAATCATTTTAGCACATAAATTTTAGTTTTAATCCCGACTCCCAAATAAAAATTCATACTTACATAAATTATATAATTGTTTATTATCATCTCCTACAATATAACATATAAATATCTCGGCTGTTCTAACGGTGTTGGAAATAAGATGATAGTTACCATTTACAAAGCGCCAAGCACAGACAAAATGGATTCCATATGGCATGATTAACAAGGTTGCTTGCCATGTTCGGAAATCTTGTAGTAAAGTTATCTAGCTGGATTCGACTGATGTGTCACGGGCTACCATTGAAGTAGCCCCATTAATTATTCAAATCCAGTTTCAATTTTAAATAATATTTGAGAGTATCAGTTCAAATTTGATCCCAACATATTATTTTATTTTTTAAATTATTCGAAATTTATATATCCGAATGCAACTCAAACTCGAATTATACTCAATAATTCAAAATAAAAAAATAACTACTTTTTTAATGCAATCAAATTTTATTTACTCTTAAATTCAATCACGAGAAGAGAGACTTCTGGAAAATAATTAATCATGATATAGATGAGTAATAGGTGGTTTGGATATGATAACAGTTCATTATTGAGTAAATAAAAGTTTACTTTTGTATTTAATCATTAATGAAGTCAAATCTCTAATAAGAAATAGGGTAAATTATACAAAATGGTCTCTTGATTATAAGGCTTTGCTTTGTTAAGTCTTCGACTATTAAAAATTTAATTTTGAGTTATTGAGTATAATTCGAGTTTGAGTTGAATTTAGACATATAAATTTTGAATAATTTAAAAAATAAAATAGTATTATTTTAGCATTTAGTTAAGTGATTTGATTATTATACGATTTGATCACTTATTTCTTTATTTGTTCAATTCCTCAGTTGTTTTAAATCTATTTGTTTTATCAAATTTGAACCACATGTAGCTCAACCAAAATAAAATACAAATGTAACTCTAATTTCTCTTTTTGATAATAAATTTATATTTATTTTAATTAAATCCCTCAACTTTATATTTTATTCAATTTGATCATTTGTATGCAATTCGTTGCAAGTTATTTCTTCCATGAATTCTTTGAGTCCTCTGTACTCTCATTCATACTTTGCCCTCGAATTCTCCTCTTTAAGAAAATAATAACAGAAATATATTATATATTTTCTATGATGTGCGATTTATTAAATAGCATTACAAATCTTGTTTACACGTGTAAAAAAAATATGAAAACCAACTTAAAAAATTAAAATAAATATATTCAATTTGATTCGAATTTCATAAAATCAACCTAAAAAATTAAATAAAATTTAACTGATAAAATAATAATCATAAAATCGAACAACTTAATTTTTCTCCGCCCTAAGTCAACTTGATTGAATACTCGTCCTAATTGAATTGGAGTGCAAAGATATATGATAAGTACATAGGGTTTGAACCTGTATTCGTTTATGCGTGGGTTTATTAGCATTACTAAAGAGCCATTCACTTAGTGTATACAGTTGGAAGAATTAAATTATGATAATAATAACGGGGATTTGTTAATATTCAAAGTACAACGTTAACTAATCAAAATTCGGTTGCATCAGAGTTGTTTTCTGTTTTATATTGTTAATTAAGCACAATTGCTTAGGTTGAGTTGGAGATGTCTACTTCGAAGGGAAAGCTGTAAGAAGATTTTGTGTTTACATTTTAATTATATTATAATCAAAACACATGCTCATCCCTTGTACGAATGAAGTGAACAAACTGCAATTATTTCAGACCACGAGAATAGTTCAGGGGTTTGAATCATTGATTCCGAAGGCTAACAAACCCTAAGCTTCCCAATTCAGGTGAAGTTGACCGTTCATTGCTAAAATATAAAATACATGGCCATATATAACTAGCTTTAGGGATCTTATTGATAAATGGAAAAAGAAACAGCAAGGAATATAATTAATACAAATCTTTTCATGTAACTCGGAGATACATAAATCTCTAAGAAAAACACTTGAAGAAAAGTATTAGACTTATTCGGCATCAATTCCCACTAGGAAACTATAACAACAAACGAAAACACTGATTTACTACAAATACTGGAAACCATGACAAAGATGATGATACTGAAAACTGACAATTTAGCATTCGAAGTCGGTACTCCTTCCGCAAACGTTGAGAAGCAAGCTAAGGGAAACTGGGATATTAAGGTTCAGGCCCAACACGTTAGCTCTGAGTGCGGTGCAGAGGCAAACGGCAGCTTCGAGGTCGGCCAGGCCTTGGAGAAGGGAGCAGCATGGCTTCACCGGGGGTGAACCAACTACAACATTGACCAAGTTAAGCACATTGGCACAGACTCCTAATTTAAGGGCATCCCTGGGGCATTTGCCTCTCGCAGATGGAGTGGGGTTTGGCCTCGGCCTTGGGTTAGGGTTAGGATTGGTGGAAGGGCAGGAGTTGCAAGCACTGCCAAGGGAAAAGAAGAGAATGTTGAGTGCCAAAAAGAGGGCCACGGAAGCTGATCTTTTTGAAGCCATTTTGATATTCTCAAAACCCTACTTGGCTTGCTTTCGCTTAGAGTAGTACAAGTGTTTGAGGATGGGGAATTGTATTTGTCGTAACAGGTTTTCGTCCGGGCACGAAAATATTAACTTTATGGGAAAAGTAATGTGAATAAATGGTTTTTAAAATAATTTGGGAGTCGCCATCGGCCTTTTGAGTCAGGTAGGTCGAATACCTAAAAATCATCTTTTAAAAGAGTTTTTAAGAAAACATCAGTTAAAAGATAAACTGATCTGCGTTTAACCAAAAATTCATTCTTTTTATTAATAAAAAGGGATTCGTGGTCGGTTACGTTTAGGGAAGGATTAGCACCCCTACAACGCCCAAAATTGGTACTTTTTAATTATAAATTGTCCCTATTATAAATTTTTTTTTAAAAATTCAAAAATATATTTAATTTATAATTCTATTTTTTCAAAATTATATAAAAATATTTATTTATTTAAAAATATCAGAAAAGAACTTCTAGGTGCCTTAAGACAGCTCTTTTCTTTGATATTGATAAATGTTAATTTAAATTAAATAATATTTTTAAAAAATTAATTATTAAATTTTAAAATACCAGAATAGGACATCCAGTTGTATTAAGACTGTCCTTTTCTTCGATATTGAAAAATAAATTTTGAAATAATTTATTTGAAATAAATATTTATTTATTATATATATATTTATGACTATATAATAAAAATATATAAACAAATAAAATTAAAATAAAAATACAATTGGAGCTATATATTTAAAAGCAATAAAATAAATGAAAACATTTAAAATAAATGACTAAATTATAGTAAAATTAAAAACCTAATTCATAATTACTCAAAATTACAGGGATTAAATGCTATTTTCTTATTTAATAATTTAGTGACTAAAATAAACTTATCTAAATTCGAATATAAGATTAAAATAAATTAAAATATAAACTAGGGATTAAATATTATTTATTAGAGTTAAGGGACTAAATATATTATTTATCCTAAATATTTAAACATACAGGCTAGGACTAAAATGAAATAAAATAAAATTACGAGACGAAATTAAAACGTATAAGAATTGATTTTAGTGACAAAAATAGAAATTTACAAATCTAGGATGACTACGCGAGAGGTTTGACCCATGCGCGAAATTACAGATATACCCCTACCCAAAACGGCGTCGTTTGGGAGGGGTATATAAGACCAAATGGCTGGCCCGTAGGGCCAACATCCCTCATTTCTTCTCTGCTTCGTCTCTCTCTAACCGAGAGAGTTTATAAAACTCTCTCGCCTCTCTCTAACCGAGAGAGTTTCCGGCAGTCGCCGGACACCGTACTCCGGTGTCGGTCTCCACCGCCGGCCACCACACGCGGTGGCCGGATTTTTCCTAAATACCCCAAATAACCTCCTAAACCCTATTAGGCCGAATCCGGCGTTAGTTTCCCCTAAAAAACTCCCGATCGGAGTAGATCTGAAGAAATACCTTCGGGTATTTCAAATAGTTTGGTCGGCCTGTAGCGTCTTCGATCACCGGTGGCTTCCTTGGTAAGCTTTCCTTTCTTTCTTGGTTTATGTTTTGGTCTGTTTTTCTGTTGTTCTCCGTTGCTCTCTGTGGCTGTCCCTTCTCTTTCTTGCAGGTGGGGTGGCTTTTATAGCCACCACCGAGGCTCTCGTTGGACCGGTTCCAGAGATGAAAGGCCCGGTGAGTCACCATAGCTATGGTGGTGACTCACCATAGGGCTCAACGTGGGTAGCTTCGTGACGTTCTGGAGTGTCGGCAGCAGCTGTTGGACCACCTGGACTCATCGGAGGCGGCTGGAAGCATCTAGAAACGGCTGGCTGCTAGGGTTAGAAACCCTAGGGTTTCCTATATGGAACTCTTTTGGGCCGTTGGATCTTGCCAGATCCAACGGCTGATGATGTTGACGGCGGCTGGGGGCTAGGGTTTGAAAACCCTAGCTGAAACCCTAAATCAGTTTAGGGTTTCCATTTGGGTATGGGTCGGTTCTGGTTGGGCCTGGTATTTGGGCTTGTAAATGGGCTTCCAGTTTTGTAATTATTTATTAAATAATAATAATATATAATATTAATAATAATAATAAATAATAATAATAATAATAATAATTATTATAATAATAATAATACTAATAATAATATTTAATAATAATAATAATAAATTTAATAATAATAATAAATTTAAATGAAAAAAATGATGTCTACAGCTGCCCCTCTTTGCTCATCCTTGTGTTAACAAGAATAGAGTAAAGACGAAAAAGACAATATTTTTTCATTTGGCTTCTTTTGAGTAGGATGGAAATGTTTGAAAACATCATGCACTGAAGGGCTTACAGATGACCCGAAGGCTTTGAAAACATCAAAAAGCTCCCGAAGGCTTTTTGGAAACATCATGCACTGAAGGACTTACAGATGACCCGAAGGCTTTGAAAACATCAAAAAGCTCCCGAAGGCTTTTGGAAACATCATGCACTGAAGGACTTACAGATGACCCGAAGGCTTTGAAAACATCAAAAAGCTCCCGAAGGCTTTTTGGAAACATCATGCACTGAAGGACTTACAGATGACCCGAAGGCTTTGAAAACATCAAAAAGCTCCCGAAGGCTTTTTGGAAACATCATGCACTGGAGGACTTACAGATGACCCGAAGGATTTGAAAACATCAAAAAGCTCCCGAAGGCTTTTTGGAAACATCATGCACTGAAGGACTTACAGATGTGGGAAATAGTTTACTAAGTAAGAAACTATGGAAATTGTTTTCTTACTATTCAACAATTTCATTTTCAGAAAAGATTGAATGAGAAACTATGGAAATCGTTTTCTCATTATTTTTCAAATAACATGTTGATTGGGTAACATGCCCCAATCTCAAAATAATGCTCATTTTTGTGGATTACGTTCATCTATTCTTCAGATGTTTACGTGATTCCTGTATTTGCGGTTTTGAATACCTTCTTCTTGTAAGGTATTTCTTACCATGAATCTTCTTGTTCTTCCGAAGATCTGTAAAACTTCATGTTTGAATGTACTCAGATGTATCAATGTAATGCATTGTCTATTGTGTAAATGATATTTTTATGAATGCATGAATGTTGATGCAATCTTCATTTGACTTCAAAGTGGTGAACTTGGTCTTCCTCTAGTTCATCATTTATTGCCAGGGTTACCTCTGGATATCAATGTAGCAACTTATGCTATCAAGCTTGCATTTCTGCAGAATCATCTGATCAACTTGTATCTTTACTGTCTTCTTTGCTTCATGAAGGTCTCAGAAGAAATGTTTCATTTGTGGAACTCTTGCTGTAGTCAGAACTATGACCTTGATGTCCCATTTTGTCTTGGATAAAACCAATTTTCTTGCTTGGACTTGTGTAGAAATTCCATAAAGCTTTCATTTTGAAAAGAGAATCTATCATCTTTAAAAAGAGAACCTATCATCTTTGAAGAGTGTAGATGTAGATATGTGACTCAGCGGGGATTAATTAGGGGAGTAGAGTCTGTTCTGATTTGACTCTTGAAACATCACAAAGAAGATTTATTCCAATTCCTTTCATGTCTCCACATATAATCAGATCTCGAATAAGGCAACTTGGACCAATATCATGTTGAGATGCTTAACAACAACCTGTAGTTCAACCTTAGTTGACCCCATTAGTTTCTTGTTTAAAATTTCAACTTTCCTTGGAAAGAAATATTCATTATATCTGACTTCTAATCTTGGGGTTGAAGAAGACATATTTCATCTTGGATCAATAAATGGAAACCTATGATTCCAACATTGGTTCAGCACCATAATCACTGGTTCGTAAACATTTGACAATACATTCATCTTTTCTTGTGGTTTTGCTCAGATGTTCGTAAAACATTTGACAACACATTCATCTTTTACTGTGGCTTCTGCCAAGATTTCTCAATCATGTAAGCTCTTTGCCTAATGTTCAAAGCTTTTGAATAACGTCACAAGACCACTTGAGAACAAAACTCAGTGGGGATTCAAGTGTAATGTTGGTATGACCAAAAAGTTGGTCAAATTCACAAGATATGCTGGTGTTGAATTGAATAGGAGACACTAACTAATCTTGATATCATCTCGGGCAAAGACAAATGTAATACTGATCACGTTTTCTTCTGTAATGAGCTTTGTAGAAAGTAGAAGTACTTCAGCTATAGGATCCATGTACATAAAGATATCTGTGGAATTCTTGTTGCTGGGGATGAAACGCACATAATAAAACCCAAAATAGATAAAAATTCAGTTCATTCCTGGCTGGCAATAAAACCCCAGTAACAACGGGAATAACAGTAATATAAGTGAATCGAGTCTCCCTTTCCAATGTCATCGATTAAGCGAAAACTATTGTGAAAAAACAGCTTCGTAATTCCACAGTATGGTATGAAACTAACTGCCAGGAAATCTTAAAGAAATATTTTCAATTGTTACCGACACAGAGAATACAAAATTCAAAGCTGAGATCTCGAGGAACTGAACCCTGGATCAAATAGTCTGTATGGGGACCATCTTATTCATGCAACCATGATGTAGCTTAACAAAGAACACGCTGTCATGTGATACATGGTTAAGAAGATTGGGTACTTGAAACCATACTTGCTGAGTAGATATTTGTTCAACAACATGATCATAATATAACGCTTGATGAACGAAGCAATTATGTATAGTCAGCTCGATTATCACTGTTTCACCATTTTCATTCTTCACACCTTTCTGTCTCATTGGAAATATTTGTTCAAGTCAATGATCTTGACACAATAGTTGTGGGCCTTCAGCATGCCCCAACATGGCTAATACAAGTGTTCAAAATGCCTCAACAGTTCTGATTCTGATTGAAATGGCTTTCAGCATGCACCACATTTGCTTCTTGTTAATATGAGCCTTCAAAATGCCCCACATGGATCTGTCTGAAGGAATCTTTAAAATGCCCCAACATTTGCTGATGCAGATGCTAAAAGTATGCTCAACATTACTTCTTGTTGAGATGAGCCTCCAAGAATGCCCAAATATTCATATTGTTGGTGGAAATGAGCCCTCAA